GAGAGAGAGAGAGATGACTCACCGTCTTTCCTGTAGTAAAGGATCTCGAAATGCTTTTCGACGCCGGCGGCGAGGGCGTCGCGGAGGGCCGCGACCGCATGGGGCGACGTCATTGGCCCATGAAGGAACTCGCAGATCGCCGGTCTCTGCATCACTTCCGCCCTCGAAAAGCCTGTCAGCCGGCAGAAACCGTCCGAGCAATATATTATGTGACATAGTCCCTGTTGAGCGTTGGCCACTAAAAAACTTCGATCTGCAAAAGGGACAGAAAAGGATTAAAAGGATTTTAATTTTTGTCCCCTCGAAAAAAATTTATACTCGTGAATTTTCCTTTTCGAAATTTCCACTTTTTAGATTAATCGTTAAGAAAATATATTTTAATTATATATATATATATATATATACATGTAATGACGTGTGACTATGCTTTTCTGGTTGGAAATGTGTTAAATATTTGTTGAATAATAATGTGGTGGAGAAGTGCGAGAGAAGTTTGGAGAAAAGCGTATGGGATTCATAGGAACGTAGGAAAAGGAAAGTTAATGCTTGGGTAGAGATTTTCATCGGCTCATTAGAGTTGCGTGGTTGGCATGCCTTCTCATGCCGATGTCCGAAATTAACTTTTCTCGTTAAGAATACAGGGAAGAGATAGACAGGTTAACTGGAATTGGTCGATCGCGGATATAAATGTATTTATAGGTGGTCGATTCTTCAAAATTAAGAGGCAAGGTATCACGTGGGAGGACGTTCGGAAAATTCAGCAATTTTCGTTGAAGGAAATCATAAACATGTTACCAACCACCTAATTTATTATTATTGATCCTCATCTCGAAACAGGTTTCCGAGTTTATCTTCTATTTGGGAATTTGGCAAAAATCTCATTTCAAGGAATCTGAATCCGCTTTGAACGTATACTTTCATATACCTTTTTTTCTTTTTATTCGATAAATTATTTATTCGAGGAATAAAATAATTCTTTGCTGTCTTCTTTATTATAGTTGGCAAATTTAATGAAGGAGGGGGGGGGGAGAGAGATAAAGGTGGAAGAGATAGATCAAAAGAAATAAGTGAAAAATGAAACGAGTTTCACTGTGAAACTCGGACGGCTGGAATTCTGGAATCACGAAATTACGAGGCGTCGTGTTCCCATTGCGACCTTCGTCCTAAATCCGGCATCGGTCTTAGAGTGTACACCATAAAATATTTTGGTACCGGCCATTAAGTTTGTCTGACTTACAGGCATCGCGAGCCTCGGTTAATTCGGTTCGTTTCTAACTTTGAGACACTTTTTGCACGTTTTCTGGGTACACCTCAAAGGGGCTGTTTCTCGTGTAAATTTGCACGTGCAATGTTAAAGCTGCCACTTACGAATACACCGTCACTTTGCCATTTCTCGTCCGAGATATTTATTTTTCTTAAGACGAAATGATCGTTCGTGAAAAAAAAAAAAATGAAGAAAGATATTTTACGAAAAAAAAAGAAAGAAAGAAAGAAAGAAAGGAATTGCGTAATATTATCGACATCAGAAACGAGAAGAACGTTTTAGAGAAAATATTTCTTTAAAAGAGAAATAGCGTATAACGAATAAAAATAATCGGACGAATCGTCGAAAAAGATTATATTATTTTAAACGATGTTTAAAATAAACGGTATGGAAAAAATAAAAATTCGATAATGCAGTGGAGCAGAGAAAGAAAAACGAAATAACAATAAGTTGAGTATCGTAATATCGGCTCCCCATCGGATCAAAGTTCATTTTATTAATCTTTCGAACGAAAAATTGGATATTTCGTTTAATAAAGAGTCAACAACAAGAGTTCGAGAACGAAATTTTCTAAAGCAGGGCAAAAAGAAAGCGATATGAATACACTTTCGATACGGTACAGATCGATATCAGGGCCAATAAGCGGCTGGTTATTTTTTTTTTTTTTTGTTACACGAAGTATCCTCCACGAGAGCACGTTTTATTCCCTATTCCCTTCCCCCCCTCCCCCCGTGTCCCCTAATTGTGTTGCATCCCTTAACGTTCCACTGATCCCAAATATTTACAAGCGATAATATGCATATTTCGAAACAACGGGCGACCGTCTACCCCGGCATGCGAGGGGAAAAGGGGGAGGAGGGGGCAAATTTTACGAGGCTCGTTGAAGAAGTAAATTTACCAAGTGTTTTCAACTCTTGAATGTTCAACGAACCGAGGCATAAAGAGACCGCCGTTATATCAAACGCATAGCACCTTTCAAGCTTATTTTTCTAAAAATAAATATCGATTCGTGTACCCATGGTCCCACGTTGAACCGCGATGATTCATTAGACTTATTATAAGAATTTAAAAATTTCCATTTTCCTGGATTTAAAAATATGAGGGGAAAAAATGAGGAAGAAGAAGAAGAAGAAGAAGAAGAAGAAGAAGGAAAAAAAAAAGAAACACCAGTCGTTTCCAGGGAAAAAAGACACGGAAAACTCGAAGGCATACACTCGGGGCAAATTTTTGTTTCGTTCGTCCAATAGCGAAACGAAATTTTATGGAAGAGAGAAAAAAGAATTCTTTTCTTTTTTTTTCCAGATACAAACCGCTCGAAAATGAATCTCAAAAGGGATATACTTCAAAAAAAAAAAGAAGAAGAGAGGGAGAAAGGCGGTTTAATCCGTGTAGAAATATCAGAGGGAAATATTAATCTTAGAAACGCAATCACGTTTTTGCGGTTCCAAGCTATTGTGACGACGCCTCTGTGCGACACCTTACTCCAAACAATGGCGACGATTTTCAAGTGCGTCGCAAGAGTACCAGACGTCGTACCAGAATCCAAGAGAAATGTCAGCCACGGGGACGTGGAATTGCGCCGCGTGCCACGACTGCCATCGCTGCCACCCTCATTCCGCTTTCGCTGCTTAAGCATTCTGCGAAGGACAATCGCGTTTAATGAAGTGAAATTGAAAATGCGGAGGAACGTGGGCCCAGCGCCATTGTTGTTGATCAACGTTACGTGGACATGGACGTGCACCGGTCGAATTATCGGCGATATATTACGTGACCGATTGATCGAAATCGTTTAAACGAGGGAAGGTTCGAAAATCGGTGCACGCGTGACAACTGGCGCTGTTGTGAATCGAGATTCGTGCGACGAATAAACGGAATTGGTGATCAGAAGTGGAGCAGAGAAAAAAAAGGAGAAGAAAATCGTGAAAATCGTTCGGCTTTGGGAATCGAACGAGTGTTGTTTCGGGGACGTGGTGGACGTCGTGGAAAATAATTGGAAGAATCGAAAGGGGAAGAATGTTGGATGATTTTTCTCTATCGACGTTGTCACCTGTTTTTACGAGCAATTTCGAGTAATTTCGTTTATTTAACAGGTGGGAAATTAAAAGGGGCGACACACGGCGCGAGCTCGAAATTTTTTCAGATTTTCCGGCCGCAGAGACAACCGCGTATTTTGTAACACGAGAGGAAAATTAAAACTTCGCTTCCAAGGGGGATGAAGAATAATTTAACGTATCCCGTTAACGCGTAAATTCGTGCGTCCACTCGTTTCATTTTCTCGCGTTGCATGTTTCACACGTGTTCTCGCTTTCCATAATTCGGATAATGTAGCGGCAGTTAACTGCAGGAATCGAAGATCGCGAGAGTTGTTTCAAAAGAAAGGACGGTGATCTTTTGATTAATCGATTCTTAAAAGAGTTTTCTTTTTCTTTTTTTTTTTTTTTAAATTGTAAATATTTACAAGTTTGATCGTTCAACTTATTTGTTCCAATTTTGAATTTAATTCGTGTGCATATCCGTAATAAAGATATATAAATTGTACGTTTATTTCGTTGCTTATTTCTCTCATAAGAAGATAGAGTTCGTGTGATTCTGATTGATCGATGGTAATTACGAGCTAATACCAAGCGATGTTGGAAATGGCGGCTACGCGGCCGCTAGTTTAACCATGATTAATACTCCTTTTCGCTATAACCGGAATAGCAACAAAGCTCTCAAGTCGCCCACACCAGAGATTAATCGCCAGGGATTTTTGGCGCTTTCGTCGGTTACGAAATCGAAACAAAAATCGATTTTTCTATTTATTCGATTCGTACGATATTAATATACAAGAATCATCTAACATGCCACGTCAAATTTTCGATTTTCTTACAAAAAAAACTCACGATCGCGCCGCATCAGCCTTTTCTCCATCAACCATGGCCCATCATCACGATCCCTGGCGATTCGTGATCAAAGGAATTTTCGTGGAAAACGATCGAAAAGGGTGTAATCTGTAACCCCGTTACGCGATTACGAGAGACACGAGAAACAAACGAGGCGCATCGGTTCTTTTTACGAATCTCATCCCGTGCCGAGTTTATCGGCCCGAAATAGATTTTGCCGAGTTCGCATCGAGGAGACAGCAGCCTCGCAGGGCTGGGCCCTTTGCCAAGGATGTCACTTAACCGCGAGAACTACTTTGCTATCCGTACCGTTCCAGAATACTGACCGCTCCTCTTATCTTCTCGACTCGCTAAACCGGCCACGCTCCTTTATTATCTCCGATCGTTCGTTGCAGCAAATTTTCACTATTTCTTTCATTTCTTTCCGATAAAACGAGGATGAGAGAGATAATTAACCTGTCCACTCCTTCTGTATCATAAGGGAAAAGAAACTACCGATTTATATTTCAAGTTATTATTTAGAACTTTCGCGAGAAAATTTGTCGAAGCTCGGAAATTAGAGGGTTGATTCGAGAATAAAGTTAAGCCCGATAAGGAAGAGGAACGTTTCGATGAATTATTCTAATATCTGAGCTCAAAGAACGCACGGTTCAACGAACGTCACCTTAATTTTTACTTACTCGATATCTAGTAAGAATAGAGTAGCAGAGTACGAAACGTACCACCATTTCTATCGTAACGAACGACACATTTCGCGTAGCCACTCGACCGGTTATAAATATACGGAATTGGAATTTACCGCGAGTTTTGTTTCCGCCTCGACAATACGAGGATTTAGAGGCCCGGTAAACGGCACATGACGCATGTTAAATTATCCAATTTGACAGTTTTAAAGCAATGTTTCAGGATAGAGAAGAGCATTGTTCTTATTTTCACGAGTTTCGATTTTAATCCCCGACGTTTTAATTATCATTGATATTTATTCCTCGCTCGATCATCATTATCGAATTATTATTATTACCATAAATTCTCGACCGAGCAAACCTTTTAAACCTTTCGATAAATAATTTCAAAAGATCAATACACCTTGAAATCCATTTTATCCAC